CCACTAAGTAGATTCTCACTCAGAGGGACCCCATAGGACAGAGTGGAACTGCTCCTGTGGGTTTCCAAGACTTGAAATTTTTACAACAGTAGACAGCTTCATCTTTCTCCCATGGAGCAGCTAGTGGGTCTGAACCACCGACCTTGTGGTTAGTTCAGTGCCATCAAAGTGCCTTATCCTCTCGTAGTGTATGCTACCCTCTATCTCTCTCTTTTCCCACTGCTGTTTAAGACCCTTCAGGATTTAAAACAAACTTCAAACCCCCCTTAGTAGGTAATACAAGATATTCCTTCCTACACCTCTGACACTTTTCCTTTCCTTAAAATTTTTTTTCATTGTACTTTAGGTGAAATTCTATAGAGGAGATGAGTTTTCATCCAGTAGTTTGCACACAGACAGTTCCTTGTCATTGGCTGCATTCCCACATGTCAGCTCTCTCCTCAGTTACTCCTTTGGGGTCTCCCTTTCTTTTCATCTGAAATGTCTATCCTTCTCATCTTTGCTTTTTGGAACATACCCTTTTGATTTCATATAGTTGATTAGCTGATGGAACACATTCCTCTTGGGTTTGTTATTTTTAATGAGCCTATTATTTGGCAAAAAAGTAGTCCCCTGGAATGGCTTCACGTCCAGATGAGAAAGGTGTCTTAGAACCAGTTTCTGGGGTTCTCCTAGTCTCTCTCAGGTCAGTAAGTCTGGCATTTTTTGTGAATTGGATTTTTTTCTTACATTTTTCTCCTTGATCTTCTGTTGTAATCTCAGTTGTGACGGACACCATGCAATGCCTCTGTTCTTGAGGTCATGCAAGCCATGGTTCATGCGGTCCATTAGTCACTTGGATCGATTGCTCCCTTGAGTCTTTGCTTTCTGGACTCAATTCTGTTCCAAGCAGGAAGTGACCAGAAGGTTGTATCTCTGAGTTGGTCTCTTGTAAGACTCTGCTCATCAAAATAGGATTCAGGCCCTTGTTTGGGGGATCTATGTTCTGCCCATTAAGTGTAGATGTTCCTTGAATCTCTATGGCCCTTCACCTTCATGCTTGGGAGCTTCATCCTGTGAAGTGTTTGAGAAATTTTCACGATTGTGTCCCTGTATGCTTTATTGTCTAATGTTTTCTACAGTTATGTATGCAGAAACATACACACCAAACCCTTATCTATAAGTGCGTGTGTTCTCCACACTCTTCCACACCTCTATACATGCTTATTTACCTCTGTTTCCATTTGTAAATTATTGTTTGTTAATAGCATTGTAGGCTTATTTACTCTATGATAATTACTATAGTTGATTTTTATTCCGTAGCTTCCTTTGCCTTGGTCATGTTGTGCTCTTCCCAAGTTGAGTATTGCCTTTCCCTTCACCATCATGAACACTTATCCCAGTGGACTCCACTCCCATGGCAATGGCATTGAGGTTGTTGTTATGGTCTATCTAGTTGGTAGTTTTCCCTTCTTCTCTCATCCCTCGTAACCTTTAAAGAATATTTTGTTGTTGTTCTTTTCCCTTTGTGTGTTCTTATTTTTTTTATGGTTTCTCATACAGTATTTTCCCTTGTATGATTGACTTATTTTACTCAGTATAATGTCTTCCAAATCCATCCATGTTGTGAGATGTTTCTCAGATGTATCTACTCTATTGTACGTAATTCATTGTATGTACCAGAGTTCGTGTCTCCAATCTTTCATTGATAGACATTTAGGTTGTTTCCATTGTCGTCTTGTGAAAAATGTTGCAATGAACATTATGTCTATTGTGTTATGACTCTTAATTCTTTAGGGTATATGCCAAGGAGTAGAGTTGCTGGATTATGTGGTATTTCCTTTTTTAGCTTTAAAGGAAACACCATTTTCCATAGTGGTTATACATTCCCATCTACTGTGTGCAAGAGTTATAATTTCCCTGCAACATCACCAACATTTGTTATCTCCTGACTTGTGTTTCTTTTGATTCGTGTCCTTATTTTTCAGGTGAGATGATATCTCATTGTAGTTTAGGTATGCACCTCTCTAATGACTAAGGATTTCATCTCCATGTGTTTGTTACCTGCTTGAATGTCGTCTTTGGTGATGTGTCTGTTTATATCTATATATTTTTATATTGGGTTGTTTTTCTTTCTATAGTGTAGGTGTTGAGGTTTTCTGTAAATTCTGTAAGTTAGGCCCATGTCAGATGATATATCATTGCCAAAAATTTATTCCCAGTTTGCAGGGTTTTTTTTTCTCTTGTGGAGAAGTCTTTTTTTTTTTTTTTAAACCATTTTATTGGGGGCTTTTACAGCTCTTATCACAATCCATACATATAGCCACTGTGTCAAGCCCATTTGTATATATGTCGCCATCATCATTTTAAAAACATTTTCTTTCTTCTTAAGCCCTTGCTATCAGCTCATTTTCCCCCTTTCCCCACCCTCCCTTTTTCATGAACCCTTGATAATTTATAAAAAAATTTTTTCATGTCTTACACCGACCACTGTCTCCCTTCACCCACTTTTCTGTTGTCCTTCCCCCTGGGAGGAGGATATATATGTGATTGGGTCCCCTTTCTCGATCCACCTTAGAGAAATCTTTTGATGAGCATAAGTCTCTAATTTTTAAGAGATCCTATTTGTGCCTATTTAGTTATGTTTGGTATTCATACCATACACTAGAAGACATGATGCCGTAGAATATTATGTGTTGGGGTGCTAACCGAGAGGTTAGCAAATTAAAACCACCAGCTGTTCCGCAGGAGAAAGATTAGGGTTTCTCCCATGGTAGTTACCGTCTTAGACATCCACTGAGGCAGTTCTACCCTGCTCTGTAGGGTTGCTATCAGTTAAAATTGACTTCGATGGCAGTGAGTTTGTTTTCTTTTAATTAGGGTTCCCAGCACTGTTCCTATTTTTTCTTATGGTTTTTGTAGCTTTAGGTTTCATATTTAAGCCTTTAATCCCTTGATGTTCCTTTCTGTGTATGGTATGAAATATAGGTTCTGTTTTCATTTTCTACAGACAGACACCATTTGCTAGAGAGACTGTTTGCTCCCTATTTAAAGGACTTTGACCTGGAGTTGATGATCAGCTGTCCATGCGTGAATAGATTCCTATTCATTTCTTGATGTTTTCCTGCCTTACCCAGAATTTTAAATTAAAAAGAGCTTAGACTGTCCTAAACTTGACATGTTGTCTCTGTTTTCTGTGTATTTATACTGCATATTGTTCATCTTGGGCCCTTTCTCTCCTTTTTGCTTCTTACACTTTGCTCACCTGTTAAGTTCAAATCTTCTGATTTTCTTTTTCCCTCCAGATTGAATTAGATTCTCTATGCCCCTGCTGGAGTTAGGTATGCATAGTTACATATGCATGTATCTCTCGTAGCACTCGCCAAGCTGTATGGTAATGTTTCCTGTGCTTCTACATTGTGATGTGACAAATTTTGTTCTTATGCTTAAGTTAGAGTACTTACTACTTACAGCATTGATACTTGGGTTTTGATCCATGTGGAGATTTGGTGAACATTCTGGACCCTCTCTTGAATGTCACTTATATACACAGTTTTGTTCTAGTTTTGCCTAGATGTTCATTGAGCATCTTTATAATATTTCTGAGCTACCTGTCATTAGTACTGTCTTCTCCATTTGTCTTCCTGACCCAGCATCTGTATTTCCTGCCTTTTTCCAGCTTTGATGTTTTTAATGGGATAAGTTTCACCTGGTGTTTTTTGAGAACACTAGTGCCCACCCACTAAGATGAATGCCACTTAGTTCCGACATCATTGATAGGGATAATAAAGCAAGAATGTTCTTTACTGTAATCTGCATACTTTATTATAACTGTGTATGTGTTGTAGAAGCACCTGTGAGCTTTTGTGATAAATATCAGACTTTCATATCTGGAATCTAACACTAAATTTATGACTAAATTGCAGTGAAACTTCATTCAGCAAATTCACCAAATTCCTAGTATACCAGAAATATGAATAAACATTAGAGTTTGTGTTGGCTTTGTCTGTAACTGAGTTTTTAATCAGACCAGGCAACGTTTTCAAGCATCATCTTATAGATATTATACGAAAAGTATATAATATTCTATTTATGTTCCGTATTAAGTAGATCTCCCTCCAAAAAAAAGTATAAGGAAGAAGCTAGATATGAGGAATAAGTAGTTTGAGAAATTATGAATTGAGGATTTGTATTTTGTGTGTGTGAGAGAGATGATCATAGTAAGTTTTGTTGTATGTTATGTTCATGTAATGCCTACTAATATTGATGATTATGTATAGACACTGATTTATTTTGACTAACTTCATTTGTATATAGGAAACAAATCAATCACACAATGCTTTGTTAATTCATTGATAACATTTACTTTAGTACAGTGGCTTTTACCTTCATGTGTTTTGATAGAGCTGGTATTGTTTTTCACAGCTGGATAATCTAGCTTGTCCCGAGCCCAACTCACCATTGATAATATGCTTAATGAAGCACATAGTGAGTTTTCATTGCCAGTCAGGTCAGGTATATGTATGCTACCAATTACCTTTGACTACCGTATTAAACACAGTTACTGCAATTTTTATAACATATCGTGGCCTTGTAGATTAGTTTACTAAATAATTTTTAACACTACTAAATATTGTAAATTATCAGGAAAGCTAATATCTTATTTTGTTTTCTTTTTCACAGCATCGTATCTCTTTTTTTGAACAGGAACACAAATAATTCTCTACTACTGTTTTGGTGGCATTCTTATGACAATCTAATTGGCTAGGGGAGTACCTAATGGCTACTGTGACAAAAGGAGGAAAGGAAACATTTAATTGTAAAATTACTGAAAATATAGAAGCATTAGGAAGTAATATTCTTAATGTACGCTAGAACTAATTACATTGCATACTAACTAATCATTTCTTTTAAGCTCATTTTTAGAGTACCAGATTATTTTGATTCAGTCATGTATAAGAACCTGGAGCTCATTGTCTATATGCATGAGGTATAAATAGTAGTATTATTCTATTCCATAGGGTCAAGAGAAATATGGATTATTAAATGTAACTAAGATTACTGAAAATGGAAAAAAGGTTCGGTAAGTATACCAACCATTAATGCTCTTAAGTATTGTCTGAAAAGATAAAAATTAATGCCACTGAATTATACACTTAAAAATAAAGGGGCAGGTTTTATATATTTTACCACAATAAAAAAGTTTTTTAACAAAGGTACTTTGTTCAGCTCTATGGAAATACGTAAATTTGAAAATGATGAAATGAATGATTTCTTAGGGTAGCATCTGGTTCAAATGAGATGTCACAGGAAGAATAGCAGAAACAGACAGAGTAGCCAAATAATCATGTGCACTGCTGCTTCTGTGTGCTCTCAGCATCCATCCTGACTCTTAGCAACCCTGCAGGACAGAGTAGAGCTGCCCTGTAGGGTTTTTTAGGCCGAAATCTTTATGGAAGTGGATTACCAAAGTCTGCTCAGGTCTTTTCTTGCCTGCAGCAGCTACCACTGTCTTTTTGGTTAGCAGTGGAGCGAGTGCTTAACCATTGTGCCACTAGGGCACCTTCTGTTTGCAATACATCCCCAAAAAGGAAGAAAGAGAAAAATTAATGTTTACTTTCACAAGTAAATTCTAAATTTAAGGAACAGTTTAAGGAACACAGTTACAGTATTTGTAAAGTTACTTCAGAGTGCTAAAAAGAAAAAACTTCCAAATATCAAAGTCTGCCAAAAGAAACTAAAAACAGTTTCGTTAATTCAAACTTAAAACCATGCTGCTCGTAACATATGAAACATAAGCAAGAAACTTGTTTCAGTTTTGATTTCAAAATCATAGCACTTCCATAAAAATCTTAAATGAAAGTTTAGCAAGCCAGATTTTAAAAAAAATGACCAAGTGGAATTTATTTCAGAAAAGCAGAGAAGGTTCAGTATTAGGATATTCTCATTGTGTTAGACCAGGTTGACTAGAGAAACAAATTCATTGACACTCATATATTTGTAAGAGAGAACTTTATATCAAGAAGTAATTATGCATCAAAACATCCCAGCCCAGTCCAAATCAAGTCCATAAGTTCGATATTAACTCATAAGTCCGATATTAGCCCATGAATTCCTCTTGAGACTCACAGCACATGCAATGATGCTGAATGCAGGAAGAGCACCGGCCGCTGGGTGGAAAGTCTTGTAGGTTCAGTGACAGTGGGCGCTTCTCCAGGGCTCTAGCCGCCATCAGCCTGGCTCCATGTGGCTTCCAGTCTCCATGAGCTGGAAGGTGGAGCAGAGGGAGAGTGCTTTGGCCTGCAGTGAGCTATTTATCTTCCTCAAGCCTCCAAATGAGGTCATCAAGCTATGATCTAATTGACAGGCTAAACGCCACCCCTTCATTATTAATACCCACAAGTTGACAGAGTATGTAACTACCACACTCATCAAAAGAGAATAATCTTATAATCTGTTTCATAAATATTCTGTAAGCTTTTGATAAAGTTTAACAGCCATTCTTAGTGAAAATGCTTGATAATTCTCATATTAGAATAGCTAGACATTAAAATGATATATATGACCCATAGCAGCCTTCTAGTTCATTTTCTAGTTTTACTTTATTGTAGCCAGAGACTGTTATATACAGTATATGTCTACTCTTTAGATTTGTGTTATTCAAAGTTGGGACAAAAATCAAGAGATGGTCCTGAAAATTAAAAATAAGAAATGGAAATATGTATATTTAAATATTTTCCATAGTAGGAAGTCATGCTATCATAAAATAGAATACTTAGGGGGATGAGAACTTAGAAGTACAAATACAGATTTTCCAAAATACTTAAAGAGATCCACACAAAACAAAGGAAGAAAATAAAAGTGTGCAAACAAAGGGAAAACATACACCAAATATATCAAATCAATAATCAACTTTAATTCATATTCATTTTCTGATAGAATAGGGCACTTGGACTGAAGCACATAGCAAAGTATTACATGGAAAAACAAACAAACCAAAAACCCACCGTACAAATGATTCAGAGCGAGAAGGAGCATGTCAAAGGTGAACAAGGGAAGCAGGACTAGGGTCTTAATAGCAAAGTTCAGCAAGGATAGTAAGAATCACAAAGATGGGAACTTTAAAGTGATAGAACATGGTGGATAAATACACCATAAAGGTCTAACCAGTAGGCTCGGACATTCTCCAAAGAAAGTAGTATTAAGCATAGGCAAAAATGATAGGGAATAAAAAGGAAAAGTAGAAACTTATGTGTAGTAAACCTTCTTTCATGATAGCTAGTGTATAAATGGATTTAAATGTTTTCTTAAAGATACATTGTGATTCATAAAAAAAAAAAAAGACTAATGAGAAGTTTCATTGGTTGCATTAGTCATGAAACTCAAGTAGCCATAAACGAAACCAAACTCACTGCTTGCCATCTAGTAGCTTTTGACTCATAGCAGCCCTATAAGACGAGGGGGAACTGCCCCTGTGGGCCTTCAAGGACTAGAAAGCCTCATTTTTCTCCCTCCAAGGAGCTTCAAACCTCTGACCTTATGGTTAGCAGCCCAACACATGCCCACTCTGTCATGAGGGCTCCTCCCAAGTAGCCATAGAAATTAATAAAATAATAAAGCAGGTCTCATGGAAAGGCTCTAAATTCTGCATTCTGAAAACAAAATCAAGCTTTTGAGCTTATAAAATTTTCACAAAACTGGTTATCTGTTTAGCTGAAAGTTAAGCCTTAATTAAGCCCTATAGTAGACGGATTTGACATTTCTTTTGTCTTCCAGCAGCTGAATCTCTTTATCAGGTGGCTTTAATTTATGTTTCCAGCTTCAAAAAAACTGATCCAAACGTTTTCTAGGCCGGAGCTATGTAGGGCTCATGGCACAATGGTTAAGCACTTAGCTGCTCACCAAACGGTCAGTAGTTCAAACCCGCCAAGCCACCCCACAGGAGGAGCCTGACCATCTGCTTCTGTAAAGCTTTTTCAGCCTTTGAATCCTTGGAGTCTTACAAAATCTCCATTAGGCAGCAACAGGCTGAGTTAGATGTAAAATACTTCTTCAACCTCTAAATAGTTTACCTTTCCAGTGGGAGGGTAACGCTTAACCAAACATCTCTACTATATAAAAAAGGAAAGTGATTAGCTTCAAAACTCTAAATAGCAGCACCGATAATAGCATATTGGGGGTAAGTCTTAAACCTACATATCTGGAGATAGAGCCGATAGGGGAAGATTTCTTTTTATTGCATTGTTTACCTCTGAGAGTGGATTAGAGCAGAAGAAATGAAGGGCCTTTTCTTTACATGCTTCTGAGTGTTATGCATGTGTGTTGCTTTTATGATTTAGGAAAATATTTTTTAAGACTTCATTTTAATAATCGTTACCTCAGTAGTCAGTATTTAATTTTTTGTATACGTACAGTGCACCTAGTGTCTACTGCTTCCTTGGTGCAGCCTTATTAGGAAGGGAGGAAAAAAAAAAAAAGAAATAATCTTGCCCCCCCCCCCCCTTTCCAGTTACCATGCTCACAGCCCTTGAGTGAATTCCAGCTCATAGCCACCCTGCAAGACAGAGTAGAACTGCCCCTGACGTTTCTGAGACTAGTGAACTCATTTGGGGAGTAGAAGACCTTGCCTTTCTCCCTCTGAGGAGCGAGTGCTTGAGAACTGCTGACATTGTGCTTGGTGGTGAGCAGCGCAGTGCATACCCCACTACACTCCCAGGGTCCCACGGGATACTTAGTAGTCTGTATCTATAAAGAATTAGGGGAGCTAAATATGTTTGTCTAAATTTTAATCATGAAAATAATCCATGCCAAATGTAGTTTGTGTTATTCTGAAATAAATTAGTGTTCTTGATCAATAATGTACTGAATTAATCTCATCTGGACATATTTTAGGGTATCACTCATAGCTATTTTGATAGTTTATGTGTGTGATTCCATTTGTTTGGGATGCCTTCTTAATCCTTGGGACTGGAAAATGATTTTTTTCAGCATTATGTCCCCAACAACTCCAAGAATGTCATTTAATGACTGTCTATTGTGTGTAGCACTGACAATAGTCAAGTAGGTTCTAATTGACAAACTGTGCTGGGAAGAACTGGCTAGTTTGTAATTGGTTATCTTTCTAATTGCAGAAAGAACTGGCTGTCTTCTTGGGCAGTATTGCAGGGTTCGTCTTTACTTTTTACCAAAACTCAAGGAAGTAGCACAAGTTGGGTAAGTATTCTCTTTAGAGGCTTTATGTATTTAAATTATTTGAATGCAGTTATACCTGAATTTCAGAAAGCCATTTCCAGAGTTCTACTAACGATAGAGCCGGTATATAAATAAAAGTAGATGCCATCTTTCTTTTTTTTTAATCATTTTACTGGGGGCTCTTACAGCTCTTGTCACAATCCATCCATCCATCCATCCATCCATCCATCCATCCATCCATCCATCCATCCATTGTGTCATGCTCATTTGTACATATGTTGCTATCATCATTTTCAAAACATTTTCTTTCTACTTAAGCCCTTGGTATCAGCTCATTCTGCCGCCACCGCCGCCCCTCCCCCCCCATGAACCCTTGATAATTTATTATTTTGTTCATGTCTTTCACTGACTGGTGTCTTCTTTCACCCACTTTTCTGTTGTCCGTCCCCCTGGGAGGGGGTTATAGTCGATCATTGTGATCAATTCCCCCTTTCTCCCCCAAATAGATGACATCTTTAAAAAAATCTTTGTATTTATTTATTTTTTAATCATTTTATTGGGGGCTCTTATAACTCTTATTACTAAGATGACATCTTAAGGACATATTTGACTCATAGGAAGAGTAGTGATAAGAAAAAAGAATTTGATGTGTGTATGGATTGGGATAACAGTTGTATTAGCCCCTAATAAAATGTTAAAAAAATAAATTAAAAAATAAAGAAAGAAAAAAGAATTTAAAAATTTTTTAAAGAAAATTTTAATTATTAAAATCAGCAATTATCCACTGAATGGAAAATTGGGCTCAGTATTTGGGCATTATAGAATAAATGACATTTAGAATAAATGGGCATTATAGAATAAATGACATTTCTGTCATGGTGTTCAACTCTTAGTATATTTGTGACCTTCTTGTTTCAGATATTTAGTAGGAAAACAGATAGTAATGTGGCAAGCCCTGCCTCAGATTGTAAAATAGGACCCTTGGGTGTTATTTAGAGATTCAGGTGTCAATATTATATTAGCCAATTTGTAGAAGAAAATTTTGAGACTTTTCATCTTGCGTATTTACTGTGTTTGTAATAACAATCCTGAAGATTTTATAGATGAGAAAATGAGGCATAAAACAATCAAGCATGTTCAAGGTCTTATAAGTTCCAAATTCAAGTCTAGGTTTAGAACATGGACATTTTGGTTCCATTGTCCAGACTCCGCACATTTCTAGAATTGCTTTATAATTGAGTTTGAATTGCTAATGGCTTCAAGAATATTGAGAATGAAATAGAGTTAAATGCTTGGTCTGCTTTATAGCGTGTCTTAGGCAATATTTTCTTAAAACTACTGCATTTCTTTAAAATTAATAGGGACTAAGAATAATTTAATAGGATTCATGGACCATATGTTAGATGACAGAGAATTCTATATATTAGCAATTAGATTTTAGTCATCTGAATTTATAATTTAGCTGTGTTCTGAACCAAGAGTGCCACAGATTGCTAGTTGTCAAATAGCAACCTAAAAATCCACGTGGATCGAACATAAATGCGAACATTCTAAAACATTCTTTTACTGTACTGCACTCATCGTTTGCTTTGCTTTGCTCAGTCAGTACAGTTGAAATAACCTCAGAGCTATTGTTCAAATTAAAGTAATTGACCATGTGTGTGACATATCTTAAACCAATGGACAGATAGTCTTTCCTTTTCTCCTGAGGTGGAGGGTGGTTCTTTTTAATATTGAGACGCTTCCAGAGGACAGTTATCTCACTTCTTCTTTCCTATGCGTGGCTCAACTCTCACTGGAAATTAGAAGAAGAAAAGGAGTGGGGAAATAGAGATTAATTTGTAATGAAAAAGTACACATAGAAAGCTAGGTAATGGTCACTTATGTGATAAATGTTGTTTGTTACTGTTGATGTTACTGTTGTTACTGATGTTAAGGATTAAAGGCTGATGTACGCATATAAAGCAACGAGGTAGGGTGGTTTAGTAAGTGGATGCATCAGGTCGGCAGTCTTGTATGTGTTCTAAAGATAGAAAAACTTAAAGATATTCACTGAATATCCACAGCATGCAATCATTAGTAAGGGTAGTTGCATTTTATTTAAGATTTTCACTCATGAAGAATTTACATAATTCAAAAGTCAAAAGTAATCCTGACAAAGGGTGCAAGGCATTTCAGTTCATCAGTTCAAGTATATTACCATGTGTCAGTAGTGGAGACAGTTTAAAATTTATTGAGCCAGCTTTGAAGTTATAGAATTCTTAATGATTGTTTAAATTTAGCACTGCACTTGGGGTCAGCCTCACCATGAGACACGACCTCCCCTTACTGACCCACAGTGCTATGGGAGGCAGCATTGGAGACACAGTGTGGGAATTGTGCCGGGTGACCCCACCCCACCCCCCAACCAGGATGTAACTTAAAGGGACTGCAACAGAGCATCAAGGGAAGCAAAAGAACAAAAGTCCCTGAGAAATTTGAAAAAAGACTTCAGACTTGTGGGGGCAGGGCGTGGCACTGTATCAGACCCTGTTGGAAAGCATTCATAAGGATCAGCAGAAAGACCTGGAACTATTCATAGGCTATTTTTTTCTCTTTTAAAAAATGTCTATATAAGATAGGCAGAATAAACAATCCTGAGGAGATAACAACAGGACCCACAGTTCCTGGGGTCATGAGCAAAGAGGAGGTAGGGGAAAGGGAGGGGGAGCCAACATACCCAGGGACTAGGGAACAACTAGAGATCTGAAATTGATGTCAAGAAGGGTGTAGAATGCCTGGTAGCATTCGATCAAGTGCAGTGTAGCCGAGAGGAAGTACAGAGAGCCAAAGGAAGGTTGAACATGATAGTGGGACAGGAGAAGGGTTAAAAGAAACAGAGGAAATAGCTAGTAGGCAAGACATTTATAGAGGTATAGACATGGCTATGTACATATGCAAATACATTAATATATAACAGTAGGGATATAGGTCTATGTACATATATTTATAGGTTGAGTATTAAGGTAGCAGACAGACATTAGGCCTCTACTCAAGCCCTCCCTCAGTGCAAGAACACATTGTTCTAATAACCGGGCATTCTGTGATACTCACCTTTCCAACATGATCACTGAAGGCAAAATGGTAAATAAACTAATGTGGTGAAGAAAGCTGATGGTGCGCCGCTATTATAAGATATAGCATCTGGGGTCTGAAAAGCTTGAAGTTAAACAAGCGACCATATAGCTGGGAAGCAACAAAGCCTACATGGAAGAAGCACACCACCCGTGTGATCACAAGATGTTGATGGGATCAGGTATCAGGACCAGAAGACTCAAAATAAACAACCATTTTGATGCGAACGAGGGGGGTTGGAATGGAGATCCAAAGACCATCTGTAGACATTTGGACATCCCCTCACAGAATGGTCACAAGGAAGGGACGAGTCAGCCAGGATGCAGTATAGTACCAATGAAATGCACAACATTCCTCTAGTTCTTTAATGCTTCCTCCCTCCCACTATCCTGACCCTAGTTCTCTCTTACGAATGTGGTTAGACCAGAGCATGTACACTGGTAGAGATGAGAGTTCTTGATACAGAATCCGGGACAGATAAATTCCTCAGGACCAATAATGAGAGAAGCAATACCATAAGGATAGGGGGAAGGTGGGGGGAGAAAGGGAACTGATTGCAATGATTGGCAGAGAACATACCCCCTGGGGGGGCGAACAACAGAAAAGTGGATGAAGGGAGACAGTATTGTAAAATATGAAAATAAAAATAATTTATAAATTATCAATGGTACAGGATGGTAGGAGGGAGGGGAAAAAAGAGGAACTGATACCAAGGGCTCAAGTGGAAAGGAAATGTTGATGGCAACACATGTACAGATGTGCTTGATACAGTTGATGTATGGACTGTGATAAGAGCTGTAAGAGGCGCCAATAAAATGATTTATTAAAAAAAATTAAGGTTGCATTCTCTGAATTTTTTTCATTTAAAGGAAATTTTGTTAATATATCATGTTAGATTGACATAATTAAAATGCGGTCACACTGTTTTATCATCTCTAAAAAGACTAAACAAATGTAGGGTGTAGTAAAATGCCTGGTTATGCATTCAATGCTTGATTTTTTTTTTTTAATGGGAAAATTTAAAACCTCAGATTGTCTTGCTCCCCCCTTTTCCCATTACCATATTAACATTGTAAAAAAATGAAACTTTGCTTAAATGGCCTAAGTAAAAGTCAGTGTGATTGCCTACTTAAAAGGTGTGGGTATCCACAGTATGCGCTGATGTATCTGCTGCACCTCTTTGAGAGAGTAAAGAGCATAGATGTCACCTTGAAGACCGAGGCGTGCCTGATCATCCATTCACAGTAGCCTCGTATGCTCCTGAAAGTTGGACAGTAAATAACTAAAGGGAAAAATAAGACCACGGAACTGATTAATTTGAAATAACGTATTAGTGACTGCCAGAAGAACAATCTGTCATGGAAGAAGTGCGGCTAGAATATTCCTTACAAGTGAGAATGGCAAGACTTGATCTTAACTACTTTGGACATGCTATCCTGAGAGGTCTCAGTCCATCCTGTAAGGAGATGTCCAGGGTTAGTGAAGAAGAGAAAGACTGTCGAAGAGATGCAATGACTCAGTGGCTACGTACAACATTGGGCTCCAGCATCGGAACCCTTGTAAGGGTGGTGGAGGACCAGGCAGTGTTTTGTTCTGTTGTGCATAGGGCCTCTGAGAGTCACAACTGACTCGGTGGCACTGAACAGCAACAACATACTCAAAAGTACTAAAATGTGGTGTGCCAGATGCAAGATTCTCTATTACATTAGTGATTAGAATTGTTCAAAAAGAATTGTAAAAAAATCTGAGCTCTATGTCTCTAGTCTATATCCAATAGATATATTGTGGGTAAAATGTACTCTGTTTACATAGTGGGATTACATCTTACCTGAAGATAAGAGTCTAGTGAAAATTACCCTTGGGTATCCCCTGGGAACATGCAGCATTAGAAGACAATCTTTTTAACTGAGCTGACTTTTTTCTCTGCTGTTAGAAGAGATTGTTTTTCCTGTCATTGAGATTGGGAGGGTTATGTTAAGGGCCCATAATGTAGGGAAAGTATGTTTCTTTGAACATTGGCATCATATTTAGTTCCTGAAACTGCTGAGATCCACTTGAAAGAAGCAGGCTGACATCACGTACCCTCTCTCTTGAGGGCACACACTCATAGATGGACTGCTGAACAGGTTCATTGCTTGATTTACTAAAAAATCGGTTCTGCTTTGTATTCATTTTTTTACTGAGTTTACGTAGCGCTAAAATCAAGTAAGTGCGATGTCCATGTGCTGCATGATGCTTTGGAAGATAAGTTTTACATAGATGCTATAAATCAAACTCACTGTTGTCATGTTGATTTCTAAAATCTCTTGAGCCTTCTCTTTTAGACTAGATATCTTCCAGGTGTTCCCACTGGACTGTTCTATCAGTAGTATAAAATCACACTTGACTTCTTCTCAAGTTGCTTTCATCTCATTTGTTCAACATTCACACTTATTTGTTAGATTCTGAGCACTGTGTTAAGCTCATGGGTTTATGGTTTATATAAGGTATCTATTATAGGATAAAGGAATTTTCTCTGGTGGTGACAATGTGGGTTAGGTGTTGCACTGCTAACCTCAAGGCCAGTAGTTCAAACCCACTAGCTGCTCCCTTGGGAGAAAGATGAGGCTGTCAGCTCCCTTAACATTCTGTCTTGTGAACTCTGGATAAGGGTCTCTATGAGTAGGAATTGACTAGGTGTCAGTGGGGTTCGATAGGGATTTATTATAGGATAAGGAGCACTGGTGGCTCTGTGGGATGACTGTTCAAACCCAGCAGCCATCTGAGAGAAAGATGAGACTGACTGTTCCCATGATGATTTACAATATTGGAAGGAACAGTTCTATCCTATAGGGTCACTACGAGTCCCAATCTACTTGGAAGCCCTGAGTTTTTTTTTGTTTTATTATAGGGAATATAGTTTATAGAGGGCTTATGTAAGGTACATAACAATGTCACTGTCTCCAAAGCTGACCTTATATTAGGAAGGCTGACAAGTGAACAGCTACCCTGTGACATGACACATGCAATGCACCCTCTCAGATAACATGCATCCTATCCCTTGAAAATCTAAAGTCACCCCATGAATATCTATTCCTCAAAAATTTGATATTTTTGTATTTTCTCTCAGATTTCTAAATACAGTCACTTTGGGGAGCCAGATAAATTTTTGGTGTGTGGCGTCCTGGACATTGTAGGATGTCTAAAATATGCTAGGAGCACCCCTGCCCCATCCAGTGTCATAACTAAAAATGTCTCCATGCATCGCCAGTTGTCCCCTAGGAAACAAATTTCCAGTCATTCAGAACCGTTGTCCTAGAGGAAGAGAAGACACACTAATTGGTAGGACTTCTCCCAAGAGAAGACTTAGAGCAAAGGCCACCACCCAGCAGGGCACGAGGAGGAGATCCAGGGTTTCTTAGAGGGACAGAACAAGATGGTGGGAGCCCAGGCAGCTCTCTCTACCTTCTTTTGTGAATACAGACTGAGAGCCTCTTCAAAGGATTCATCGTTAAAGTAAAACATAGGCATTTACATAGTAATACAGAAAATATTTATGATACACTGTAGGACTTTGCAGTAATATTTGGAAGTTTAGCTTTGGCCCATGTTACATGTCTGCTTGTAGAACTGTTTGGGTTTTTTTTTTTTTTTTTTTGGTCTTGTTCCATTCTGTATTTCTCTTGTGCATCGTTTTGCCATTGTGCACTGTTTTGACATCATTTTCTTCCCTTTCTCCATCAAGTCATTCTCTGAGCTCTTGCTTTCACTGCTTTCTTGGAAAAACTGCCAGTCGCCAGCCTGCTGTTGCATATGTAAAATCTGACCCTGTTTCTGCTGTCACTATGTGATCTTGTTGCATGCCTCTTGCCACGGTCATTCTGTTTTCTTTGCCATGACTACACTGGGGAGTGATTTCAGTAGAGCAAAGTGGGAGTAGATTTTGCACAAGAATAAACAGTAAACAAGAAATTTTGCCAACCAGACTGAATTAATTCCATGTCATGTCATTGCATTTCTATGTGGTTGCTCTATCTTATATGTATCTTAGCTTACAGTTAATCATCTACAGAGCATGTAATGACAACAGCTCAGTTGGATTTTGCCTTTTTGTTCAATCGACATATTCAAGTTTTACAACTTTTTTTAAAAAACATTTTATTAGGGGCTCATACAACTGTTATCGCAATCCATACACACATCAATTGTGTAAAGCGCATTTGTACATCATTCTCAAAACATTTTCTCTCCTCTTAAACCCCCGACATTAGGTCCTCATTTTTCCCCTCCCTCCCTGCTCCCCCATCCCTCATAAGCCCTTGATAGTTTATAAATTGGTATTTTGTCATATCTTGCCCTGTCTGACGTCTCCCTTCACCCACTTTTCGGTTGTCTGTCCCCCAGGGAGGAGGTCACATATAGTTCCTTGAGTTTTATAACTTTTGATATATCATTTCTGCTCAGGAAGTTATCAGTACCCATTACAACTTGATAGCCAATAAAATAGTAATCATGTATGTCTGCTGAGTGACTAAGGGTACTTTAAAAATGTAAAAACTTTGTAGAATACAGTTAAGTACGTTTTTTTTAAACTGTGGTCTTTATTATGAGTCCACTAATAAATTCCACATGATATCTTGAATTTTGTTTGATTCACTAATAAATTCCATACGCATTCTGAATTTCATCCGTTTTGTTGTAATGAGCACATTTTTAAGTCCACACTGCCAGCTGGAAAGATGCAGTGAAATGGCACGGGTAACAAGTGAGGTCAGACTGCTTACTAAGTGTGATGAGCAGCGTTGACATTCCAGAGAGTGGGTAAGTCAGGTTGATGAGCATGAGCCATTCCTAATGCTATACAACATTGCACTTGAAGTGGACACTTCTATCCAGTAAGTGTTTTAGCACATGAAGGTACCTATAGCAACTCTTCATGACCTTAAGATTATAATTCAACAGCTGTTGGAAGTCCTAACAGCAGTCTTGGTGATGTAGTGGTTACATTTTGCGCTGCTAATCACAGGGCCAGCAGTTCAAAACCACCAGCCGCTCCTTGGGAGAGTGCTTTCTATTCCTGTAAAGAGCTATGGTCTTGGAAACCCTGAGTGAACAATACTGTCCTGTCCTTAGAGGGTTGCTAGGAGTTTTAACTAGAATGGATGGTAGTGAGTGAGTGGAGATCTTAAACCCTCCAAACTTTTCAATAACAGTACTATTTGTTATTCTTAGTTAACAGACTTACACAAAAATGTAAGTTAATGATGGTATGAGGCAGAGAAATGTAAGTTAATGATGGTATGAGGCAGAGGAAGTATATATTTAGCATAAGTTTTCTGCTCTTTGCCAGTGTTTTCCTGATCTGGGTAACAATGCAGTCGCTTGCTAACTGCTTTTTCATCTCAAGCCACTGATGGCAACTGTCTTCCCTTCTTTTCATGGTTCCTCATTAAATTGCTGCAGCTTTATAACATCAGACGTTCATCATTTCTAACGAAGACTTTGTTTTAAGGCACTTGGGCTTGTAGTTTTCTGTTTTCACAAGTTTTTGTTAGTTGCTCACCATATAGTCTACAAGGCAGTGGTTCTCAACCTTCCTAATGCCACGACCCTTTAATACAAGACCTCATGTTGTGGTACCCCCAACCATAAAATTATTTTCGTTGCTACTTCATTACTGTAATTTAGCTACTGTTTTGAATGGGGCGACCCCTGTGAAAGGGTCGTTCGATCCTCAGAGGGGTCGTGAAGCACAGGTTGTGCACCGCTGCTCTAAGGAAATCACTTGAGTGTTAAGTGTTGGAAGTGTTTGGTAGGTGGCATACACCAAATAATGTTCATCCATGTATAGGATTATTGCCTTGCCCTTTTTTGTTGTTTGTTTTCTTTTGCTTAGCCCCCATTGAACATGCCATTTTCACATAAGCATATGCAGTCTAGAATAAATTCCAACAAATAGAATTGCTAAGTCAAAGGATACATGCATGTGTAAATATAGCATTGCCCATCCCTCCCACATTAGATAAGAGTGCCTCTTAATGTATTACATCAGCAGCATAGTTTTTAAGTCAGACCTTTGGAAGTTTGCTTCTTGGTTTACCTTCTGATGGGTGAGTGATTATTTCAGTGTGAATTTATTTTGGTTTTGTTGTTTTTGTATTATGCTAGAAATCCAACCATTTCCTTTCCTTTTTTATAACCTGTATACTCATATTCTTTAGACATTTTTCAGTTGTAAACCAGAGGGTGTTATTTTTACAATGTAGAAAGAGAAGATTTTATCTAATTTTATACTTGATTTAGTGTTAATATGAAAGTGGAGTTACTTCTTTTGAATGCATGCATATACATGAGTATCACACTAAGCTTTTCTTTTTTTCTCTGAAATGAAGTTTGGCAGTAATCAGTCTAAACCAGAGTTCACAGTGGACCTCAAGGGGGCAGTGATTGAGATGGCTCCAAAGGACAAATCCAGCAAAAAGAATGTTTTTGAGGTAATACATTTCTTTCTAAGTGTAACTTATACTTCTGAACTGTAATTGAATACTGTGTTTCTGAGCTATTTTGGACATAGTCTTTTATGGTGACTAGTTAAGGCAAAATTTATATTGCACTTTAAGAAACAACTTGGGGTAACTTGCATAAATGACTGGAACCCAAACTGCAGGAAGGCACTTCAAAAGTTCCCAGGAAAATGGACTTTAAAGATAATAGGGTTTGTCCTCCTCGGGTATAATGCTGTCTGAGTTCCACAAGTTGTGCTTCCCAGCGGCAGCAAAAAGCCTTAACATTAAAGAATGCATGAAACTCCCCTGCAGCGTAGATAAGCCCCTCAGAAACGGTCGGTCTTGGGAGTCATGGTTCCATGTGGGTACAAGAAGGGGGAACCGATAGCAGCCATGAATGAATCACTCCCCTCCAGGGGGTGAACAGAACTGTGCCTGAAGGGTTACCTGGGACGATGTAAGATACGAAAAATCTCTCTATGTAATTTATTAAGGGTTCACGAGGGTGGAGGGTGGGGGAGGGAGGAAATAAAGAGGAGCTGATATCAAGGAGCTCAAATAGAAAGGAAATGTTTTGAAAATGGTGATGACAGCATCTGTACAAGGTCGCTTGATGTAATTGATGTGTGGCTTGTTATAATATCTGTAAGAGCCCCCAATAAAAGGATCAATAGTAATAATAATAAAAGAATACATGAAACTCCCCAACTGGGGGCAGGGGAAAGTTAAAAGTTTTCCTTTTGTTATTTAAAGACCTCCACAGTATCAGCTGTTTGTGGCTGCATAACAAATGACCCTGGAACCTAGCAGCTTTAACTCCGCCTTAATGATGTCAGTTGGTCCTCAGTGCTGAGCGGGGTGGTGGTTCTGCTGCTTTCAACTGAGGCCATTCATGAAAATTCATGTTCTACTGACTTGACTGGCCCATGTGCTCTCAGACAGACTCATTCACATACTTGGTCTTGGTGCCAGCGAGGCCCCTCTTTATAAATAGCTCATTCAAAGAAGCAACCCCGAGCTGCTTTGCATGGCGGTGTCAGGCTTCCCTGTACTCTGTTGGATTCTGCAAGTCTGAGGTCCATCCTAGTATTTCAGGGGAGTGAGGACTCAGATTCCATCCACTGATGGAGGAGCAGTGAAGCCACCTCGCAGAGGAGGGTGTGCACAGAGAAGGGAGGAGTCATTGCTGCTGCCTTTGCAAACAAACACTGCATTCCTACCCTGCCTTTCTGGCCGGCATCTCGGGCCTTTCCTACCCAAGCAGAGTGGATTCATTGCTATTTCCCAAACAGAAAAAAAATCAAACAGAATATCACACCCCTTCCCTTGATGTACCTGACTTGTAAACTGTTATCACAGTTTTTGCTTTCCTAGATAAGACGTTCATGATTACATTTGCACCTTCTTCTGATTTCTCATATTTGAACTAAATAAACTTCCATGGTGCCTTTTCAGTGCTAAAAAACAAACAGAACCAGAGGTTCCTGCTTATATGAATTTTATTGCTGTTTTATTACTCTTCCTTGACCCATGTTAGTTTCTACTTGTTAAATGTTAGTGATCTTTCAGGTCAAGTGTCACCTCATCAATGATATCTTTTCTTGATTTATCTTTTTAAAATAAGTAATTTAGTCTACCATCTGTACTCGTGTATAAGCTGAGTTTTTTAGCACATTTTTAATGCAGTTTTTGTGGTAAAATTAGGTGCCTTGGCTGATGTTGGTGTTGGCTTAAATTTATTTGTTTAAGCAGAGATTGCACTTTCCCTTGTCTTGGAGTAACAGCCTAGATCTAGTCCAGTGGTTCTCAACCTTCGTCAGGCCGCGGCCCTTTCACACAGTTCCTCATGTAGTGGTGACCCCCAAGCCATAAAATTATTTTTGTTGTTACTTCATAACTGTAATTTTGCTACTGTTATGAATTGGTCGACCCCTGTGAAAGGGTCGTTTGGCCCCCAAAGGGGTCACGACCCACAGATTGAGAACCGCTGGTCTAGTAGAATATCTTTTTTTTTTTTCCTAGTAGAATATCTTATGTGCAGTGAACATTCACGCTTGGTTGATTGGTTTTGACCCATTGCATAGGAAGAACTGCATGAAAGATATTAGACTTTGCAATTTCTTGTTTAAAATTTTATTTGTTTTGTTGAGAATAGACACATCAAAACATACACCAACTTCCTCCTTTTCATGTGTGACATTGATTACATTCTTGGAGTTGAACAACCACTCTCCTTTTCTGAGTTGTTCCTTCTTCATTAACTACTGTTCCCTAAGGCTCCTTTCTAATCTTTCAAGTTGCTGTGGTCAGTTTGATCCTACACAGATAGTTCTTCCAAAGAGCATAATGCTGAAGGCTGAGATTTTTAAAAATTACCACTTAAACTAAACTATTTGTTTTTAAAAGGACTTCAGGAGATATTTTTGGTATATGGTTTAAAGATGATCTGAGGACAATCATTTTAGGTGTTTATCCAGCTCTCTTGGTTCAGAAAATGTAGAGTCCTTGAGAATTTAAAGTTATATTATACATTTTCCCCTTTTTCTCAGAATTCTTCTGTAGAATTTTTGATCAAAATGTTCAGTAGTGGTAGACAGGCACCATATAGTTCTTCTGGTCTCCTGGCAAAGGAGGCAGTTCTTCATGGAGTTAGCCACACATTCACACCCTCTTTCTATTCCTGCTGCTGCTCCTTGCGCTGTTGCTTCAGGCAGAGACAGACCAATACTGTGGGTGGCCATCTGTGAGCTGTGTGACCCCAGGCACTCTGGCAGTGTCAGTAGGGGTTTCCAGAGTAAAGAGATCTCCACGGTCAAATAAGTTTTGGGAATTGGCCTGTATTTTATTATTGTCTTGGAAAGTCATAGCCCCCTCTAGAAGGTGAAAATGTCAAAGGAGAGAAACTCGTATAAATTTAATTCATTGTCCCCCAATTTAATGTCATATAACTTTATGACTTTCATTTTTGAGGGCTCTCTTTGCAAACATTATTTGGAGGACTGTGTTAGAGGAGGAGTGTGTCGGCTGGACCGTCATTGGGAAACATTGCCATGCGCATCTCTAGTGAAAAGAAATTACAGAGTTAAAAATCTGAGAATTGCTTTCTGATTTTTAAAAAATATTTTGATTTCTACTCCTGCCTCAAAGCTCTTCCTCAAGTATAAGAAACTTTGAACTACAGAGGTTATCCATACATTTTTATTATTGTGTTTATTTAAAACAATGCATAATATTTTTATTTTAGGATTTGACACTTGACTTAGTAATATTTCTAGCTAAAAGGTGTGTGGTATTCATTCTATTCTTGGTACAAGGCCATTGTATTCAGCTACCTAATAGGAAACAGTGAAGGCATGCCAGGTAATACATAAATATATATGTAGTATATATATGATATAAATAAGATATATTTTTTAAAGAGAAGAAAAACTGTCAGCTCTACATCAAAATATCATTATATTCCATTTCTTTACAAATGATTATGTTTCACTTTTAATTTAAAATGCATGGCGTTGATATGACTATATCATCAGGTTTAATGACTACTAGATTTCAGCGGGCTTTATGGCAATTGTGTGATGGAGTTTGGTACCTTACATTATTAGATTTCCACGGAGTATTTACTGTGAGACATAGCTTCCTGGTTTTATAAAACAGCTCTGCTTATGTTATTCTATGCTAATACACAAAGTGTGCCGTAGCTGTGTGCTTTCTTTCTCAAATAGATGACATCTAATCTTCGTGGACCTGTAAACTTTGATTAAATACACTCATTTATTTTGTTGAAACCACTAAATCTCCCTCCCTCCTTCCTCCAATCCTTTTCTCTATAGCTGAAAACTCGTCATGGAACAGAACTGCTCATTCAGTCTGATAATGAAACTGTTATTAATGATTGGTTTAAAGTGCTCAGTAATACTATCAGTAATCAGGTATGTATTTGACTTTGGTAAATTTCCTAGTTTCAGAACAGTGTTTCTTTTTTGGCTTTGTCATTGCTTTTTGCGTATTAATCAGATTCCAACTTATTTGGGAAAAGATACTTTTTTGTATATATATTTTGTTGGAGGTGGTAAATCTTAAGGGTTGCTGAATAACATTGTCATTTATATAATGTGTACTATCAATTGAATTAAAATAATAATCCCTTTAGACATTTGGTCCAAAAAGAAATCTGTCCATAGGAAGAAGCAGTGAAAATGCCTATCATGAAGTATTTACTGTTACTGAATGAGTTGGAAACAGTACTGTTGGTGGAAACACATTCTAGGCAAAATTATGAAGTGAATGAAGCTTTAATTTCTTCATTTTTATTATTATTTCCAGTGACCTCTCTCTAACTCCCCTCCCCTTTAAAGTGCATAAGTCTCATGTTCCTGGAACCTTATTTATGTGACCACAGTCAAAAAGAACCTCAGATCCAAATTCTGATGTTCCGCTAGAGCAGTAGTCAGCCACAAGGGGCTGTACCTTTTCTACTATATTCTTACCCCTCACCCTGGCCGCTGAAGATCACAGGAATGACATTATGGGAGTCGGTATGGTTTTATAGGAGTCTGTCAGCTCAGTGGTTAAGCGCTCAGCTGCTATCCTGAAGGTCGGCTGTTTGAGCCCATTAGCCACTCCCTAGGAGGGAGATGTGGCTCTCAGCCTCCATAGCGATGTACAGTTGGAAACCCATTTGGGCAGTTGTCTAGGCTTACTGTGTGTTCAGTCAGCAATGACTGTGACTTGAGTTATGGTTTAAATGGAGAGAAAGAAAGTTGGTTATCACTCATTTTAATTGAGATTGAGATGTCATTCAGAGAATTTAGAGATGATTAAAAATATAACCCACTGCCATTAAGTGAATGCCTCATCATCAGTAAGCTTTGAGATCAAAATATGGTGCTTTTGTGAGCCGGCCTCAGGTTTCTGACCTGTAAAGGAGAGAGGTTGGAATTGATTTTCTCCCAAATATTTTTTAAAGATGTTATGGTTTTCTCAGTTCAAAACACCCAGATTTAGAATCTGGGTATTCTCTGACTCTTTTTCCTATATCTCTTATCTTTCCTAGAAAATTAGTCACTAAGTTATTTGTAAATTCTTCCTTTGCAATGTGGAATATTGTTTGATGTTTCTAAATCCCAACGCTTTCCATTTATTCCTGAAACTAAGGACAGTATCCTCATACCAAGAGTAATTCCCTAAATATTTTTCCTTATTTGATTTCAGTCCCATCCATCCATTTCTAATGCCACAGCTATGTGAAGCCTCCTGATGTCAATTTTCTATTCCTGCCCTACTAAAGAATCTTCTGTGACTCCCATTAAATTAGCAGCCCAAGCCCCATATGCCTTTTCCAGTATTCGAGCCAGCGTGTGCTGTCAGCTCTAGTCGTCAGAGCCTGCTCACTCTTCCTTGGAAGCATGTGTGCACCAGGCCATCGCTTAGAGATATGAGTGCTTTATGCTCTGGGGACACAGTGGTGGGCAGCCACTCGCTAGACCTCTGGTTGGCTCCTACAGATAGAGACAGAAGATAACTAGACAGTTGATAAAATGAAATGCGATCAATGAAATGTTATGATGGTAGAAGATGGACAACATGCTATGAAAATACTTACTTGAGGCTTACCTACTATAGAGGGATCAGGGAAGAAAGTTGTTGTTTTGGGGAGCTAAAGTCTCAAAACAAATAGATCAAGTGAACAGAAAGTGAAGTATTACAGACTGAAATTTGTATTTATTGATATTTATGTTTATATATTTGTATTTATTACTTACAAATTATCAAAAAATGTTACTACTGAGGACTTGATGTAGCAGGAGATGTGCATGACCTTTAGGAAACATCACAAAACTTTCCTTAAAGATACTGAAGAAAACCTAATTGAGAGAAAATGTTTTGAGAAACGATGTACAAATGCGCTTTACACAATTGATGTGTGTATGGATTGGGATAACAGTTGTATGAGCCCCTAATAAAATGTTAAAAAAAAAAAGAGAAACAATAAACATGCACTGAAAGGTTTCAATAATGTAAAGATGCATTTTTCCTGCAAATTACTTTTTAAGATGTATATAGATTTAAAGTTTTTGAGTCTCATTCAGAATCCCAGTAGGCTTTCTGGTAGCACTTGACAGCCTATTCTAAAATTCATGTGAAAATGCAAAGTACTAAGAATAGCCAAGACGTTCTCAAAGAATAAGTGGAAAGACTTGCTCTGTCGTGTGTCGAGACTATCAAGCTGTAGTATTGAAGACAGAATGGAGTCTGTGATAGGATGGAGCATAGACTGAGGAAACGGGGGGAAAACAAGAAACACACTGGGTGCCAGCTATAGCACTGATGAATAGTGGGGGTGGGGAGTGGTAGGTTTTTCAGGAAATGGTGCTAGGACAGTTGTATATCCAAGAAGGAACTGAAGCCCTTTGTTACACTGTACACAAACATAAATTCCTGGTGTGGTACATACAATGTGAAAGCAAAATCATGGTTGTTCACTTTGAAAACTTAGTATAAGTTTTAACTGTAAAAGTGACCTTGGTTGCAATGCAGAGGAACTCTAGAATTTCTTTCAATTCTCAACATCTGTGATTCTGTGAGCAATACATACCTATTAGCATGAAATGCAATTTAAAAGGATTGTTGATAGCCAAAATTAATGTACCATTAAGTAGGTGAGCTCGTTAGCTTTTTTCTTATGCTGATGTCACAGAAGGTAACTTTTAACTGCTCTTACTGTCACTCTTGGGTGGTTTATCAGAATGAGGCAAGATAGCCTCGTTACTAATGTAGGTCCATTACAGTGGGGGATGATCAGCATTATTTTCTTTATTGAAATCCACAAGTTGTGTACCATCTGGGGATAAACATTTTCAATGTTTTATCAAATGTCTAAATCATGCATAGCATATAAAAATTGATTTTCTGAAATCATTTGGAAGAACCAGTTCCTGACCATTCTGAGAATTTGCTAAGGTTACTACAGTTGTGCTAGCAGTAATCGTGGGTTTATGAAACGCCTAACCTTCAGGCAGCAGAAACCGAAGAAGGGCCTGAAGAGGAGGCCCCAGACTCCCCAGGAATAGAGAAGCACGACAAAGAGAAGGACCACAAGGACCCAAAGAAACTTCGCTGTAAGTTCCTTCTTATTTTGCTGATGGTTTACGTGCGCTCATTCTCTTAGCTTTCAAAGCGGTGAAACAACGGTATGAAAGCTGCGGATGATCTCCAAGGTTAGGTGATGGTTAACCATGTAGCTGCAATCACTATGGTTCAGTGTTCTCTCATCTCTGCATCCCAACATCATAGGTTCTGCACTTTAAGATACTGTGATACTTAAGTAGGAACAAAAAATGTATCCTGATACTCTTCTGTTGAGACCTCAAGGGAACTGAACATTAGTGATTTAAAAATAATAGTTAGTGTTTAAGATTCTACACGGAACCTACTGCTCTAAGAGGTTGAAAGTCATGGGTCATCTGTCAGCATTCCTACTGGCTACCAGGCAGCCAAACGTGGAGCTGGGCTATTTCTGTGCATGTACCCGAGTACAAGCATGCCTACTTCCACATCACACACCCGGAAAAGACCTCGGCTAGCACCTTTAAAAACAGCATTTTCTCATAGGTCCTCATTCGAATGTTTAAAGGGGTCATAAGCTTTGACTCTTCACGCTGGTAATTCTTGGGCCTTCAAATGCACGAATGACTAGAAAACCAGGCGTGCTTTTGTTCCCCTACATTCGACTCAAGTTTGGGATATTACTGACTGGGTCATACCATGTAGTAGTGAAAACACATGAAAAATTATTTTTATTTGTTTTTTACTGATCTGTTGCCCCTGTTCTCAGTTTCTCCAAATTTAGTTCCATTTAAGAAATTTATTTTTGAATATTTGTTGTTCTAACCAAAAAAGAAAATTCATACAAAAGTAGCTTGTATGTAACTTGTATGTAGCTTGTATGTAACTTGTGATTTAAATTTGGTCACTTAAGGTTAGGGGTATGTATTTCCCAGGTGGTCTCATGCTTATCAGTAAAAGTAATGGTAGTGAGACTTTGCTCAATGTACAGCTCAGGATGACGATTGTGTGTACATACCCAGACTCTGTAGGGATTTGTTAGTTTCATTTTTTTTTCACTGTAGTCATTTTAGCTTCCAAAACAGATTGATAAGTAGCACCATTAATTTAAGTTTGCCAGACATAGTACATATAACCCCCACCCCCCAAAAAAAAGTAGTTTGGAATCCGTTTTTAGTGAAGAAAAGGAGATGCTTTATTTTTATAACTTTGAAGTTGGGTATATCTTAGTTGGATTTTCTACACGTCACTCTCAACCACTCTAAAATTAGAAAGAGTAAAATTATATTAATGTGTTTTGAGGGTAGAGTGGAGGAACTTGGTCATCAAAAAAATTCTATATTATGAAGTGCTCAATATCTTTTTGTCTCTCTTAAGCCATGAAAGTATCTAGCATAGATTCTTCAGAACAGAAAAAGACCAAGAAAAACCTGAAAAAGTTTCTTACCCGGCGCCCCACTCTGCAAGCTGTTCGCGAAAAAGGTTATATTAAAGGTAGGTAGGAAAAAGTGATGCTTACACAATGAATTTTGGCCCAAATCAGAAATGCAACATTTCAAATTAAAAACAGAAAAATTTCTAATCAATAAATATGTTCTTATTCTTTATTCATAGTTTTTAGTTCATTTGAATAATTGAGTTTGAGTGTTTAAAATTGATTTTTTTAAAGGGGCATAAAGTACTTAAAAAAATAACAAAACTGATGGACTAAACAGTCAAAACTTAAGTTCTTGGGAAACCTGAGTCAGAGAAGCTGCACTGATGGGTGATGGGTAACAGATTCTTAGGGGTCGTGACAGTGATGAGTGTCTGTTTTGAAATGCAGAGGTCAAAAGAAGCGAGAAATGTTTAGTACACTGTCACTGAAAAGGAGTCTTTGGATGGTACAACGCTCTGTTATTTGCTAACTGAATGATTGGAAATTGTAGTCCAATCACAGGTGCCTCGGAAGAAAGGCCTGAAGATCTATGTCTGAAAACTCAGTCACTTGAAACATCATGGATCCTGACACACATAGGGTTGTCATGAGGAAAAGTTAGCTCCACATTCATTAATAACTTGTACCTATTGGGAAAAAGAGAACAAAGTGCTTCTATTCTTAATTGTTTGCCTTCACTTCTCATTTGAAGTACCGGTATTTTAAAATTAGTATAATATTCTAAAAATATATATATATGTATATATATTACATTTATAAGTAGCAAAGTGTACTAGTGGAATCTTTCCTTAATAAGAAAGGCTTCTTTAAAATCTCTCATACCTTTAGTTGTTACAAAAACGTAAGTTTAAATTCATCAGGTAATATTTTCTACTACAGACTCAAAATAGTGACGTCTTTATAAATAGATTTATATACAACGAGTCTTCAAAAAGCTTGTGGAAAAATAGAATTAAAACATAATGGAATTTTTCCATGGACTTTTTTGAAACCCCATCGTATGCAAAGGTGGGATATAATGTATAAGGTTACATTTGTTATTTCTTTAGTTATGGGTTTCTAACAAAGCAGAACATAATGGGAACATCTGTTTTTAAATTATCTAAATTAAATCTACAAACGAGCACCGTAAAGGTGTTGTTTACATGTCTAAGAAAGAGTTTTGGGGAGAAAGACAAGGCTTTATAATCCCATAAACAGTTGGAGTCTCGGAAACTCACAGGCAGTTCTGTCCAGTCCTATGGGTTCAATTTTGAGTTGGTTGGCATTGACTTAATGTGGGAGAAACAGAGAGAGGGAACCAACCTAATTCAGTGTTTCCTAAAGTGGGCAATACTGACCCCTAGGGGGTTGCTGGAATGCTCTAAGAGAGGCTGCAAAAGCAGCTACCACAGCACTGGGTAGAATGTTCAGAGGGGTGCCACGTTGGCAATGAGACCAAGTTTGCACCAAACTAAAGGACACTGGACCTAAGGAAAGAGGAGTCCTGGTGATGCAGTGTGTTAAGTGATATTGGGCTGCTAATGAAAAGGTCACTGGTTCAAACCCACCAGCCACAGGAGCAAGCTGAGGCATTCTACTCCCATAAAGATTCACAGTCTGAGAAATAACAATAATACTATATGATTGATCAAGGATTCATGAAGGTGGGAGGGAGGGGGAAGAAGGAGGAGCTGATGCCAAGGGATCAAGTAGAAAGAAATTGTTTGGAAATGTTGATGACAACATATGTACAAGTGTGCTTAATACTATTGAATGATGGATTGTTAAAAGATTTGTTAGAGCACCCCCCAATAAAATAAATCGTTTTTTTAAAAAAAGCAGATACCTACCCTACACTTTATCCTGGATTATAGTACAAACGTTTGTATAATTGTCAATTACTGTATATAATCGTGTATAATCTGAGTTTCCCAGCACATTTTTAATGCCGTTTTTGTGGTAAAATTAGATGCCTTGGCTGATGTTCGGGTCATCTTATACTCGAGTATATACGGTAGTTTTTTTCTGAAAAGGAGGTGATAGGTCAAGTAAGTTTAGGAACTTATGACTTAACTGGATGATTCAGATTAGCAGTCTTATGAGTTATGGATAAACCTAACCAAAACCAAACTCACTGCCATTGAGTCAATTCTGACTCATGGCAACCATATAAAACAGGGTAGAACTGCCCCTGTGGGTTTCTGAGTCTGAAACTCTACAGAAATAGAAAGCTTTATCTTTCCCTTGCAGAGCACCTGGTGGTTTTGAACTGCTTCCTTTTTGGATAACAGCTCAATGCATACACACCACGCCACCAGGGCTCCTATGGATAAGCAGGTACTCTCAAAGCATATGAATTTTGTATATTGTGCTTAAAATCTGAAAACCACATTGTGGAATTGATTATGACTCATAGGGAAGCTGTAGGACAGAGCAAAACTCCATTGTGTTTCTGAGGCTGCACACCTTTATAGAAAGACTGCCTTCTCTTTCTCCTGTGGAGTGGCTTGTGGCATTGAACTTTTAATTAGCCAACCTTTTAGCAGCACTATGCTTAATTCACTACGCCATGAGGGCTTCTAATACTGAGCTTAGAATCTTTAAAGATACATATTTTAAAAGTCTGACAAGTTAATAAACTGCTGCTGTTTGTTTACTGGGTCTTTTCATTGAGAACTCTAAACTGCTGTCACTGAGGCTTTATATATCACTTCATATATTTTGTTTGTTTTCCTGAATATGTAGCATTAATGTAGAATTTCAAATGGTTATGCTGAAAGATTCCATATAACTATATTTGCAGTATATTTTGTGAAATCAAGTGTCAGCACATAATGGGCATGCACACACTTGATTTAATAATCTTAAAGGCATTTGAGTATATACTATAAGCTACACATGATCCTAGCTGCAATGAATACGTATTGTTCAAGAATGACTAAGTCCCAGCCTTCATAAAACACATGTTCAAGTTGGAGACTGACAGTAGAGAAGATCTTTTTCAGGTACTGATGGTCCCTATGAAGACACTAAGATGGTAATAAAATAAGAGCATGTCATAGCTAGACTCATCAGAAGGTTGTTCTAAGGAGGTGACATCGCAGCTGAAACTGGGAATGACAGGAAGGAGTCAAATTTTGGGAGAAGAGTACTCTGCAAATGGACTAGAAAATGCAAAGCTTCTCAGGCGTGAGTGAGTCGGGGCGTTCATGGAGCCTAGCAAAGAAACTGACATGAAGTAGGCAAATGCACGTCCTGTGAGCTATAAGTCATGGTGTGAAAGTGCACCAGTTTGGTCATTGTGTGGGTGAAACTTTGGCAAGGTGGTTTGTTTTTAAAATTAAGTCTCTTTCAGATCAGGTATTTGGATCCAACCTTGCGAGCTTGTGTCAGAGAGAGAATGGCACAGTACCAAAATTTGTGAAATTGTGCATTGAACATGTTGAAGAATATGGTAAGAAAACGAACTATGTATATATTAAGACATGGAGCAAACCAACCCATTGTTTTGATGTCAAAATCCTTAGGTTTTTTTATGATCTAGCATGATGGAACCCTAAGTTCCCCGTAGTCACAAGGTAAAATGTTAAGCATCTTGTTTGCAGAAAACTTACCTGTTTGCACCTATTTCAAATGCAGACTTTTGCAGGCACCTATTGAGTGTTCAGTACTACAAATGGTTGATTAAGTGTATGGTATTATTTGAACCATTCTTTGAAGAGTTGGCATTGGGTTAAAACAAAGAAGTGTTGATTATGAAACTGAGTTTAGTAAGAAATGGTTTGACAGTGGAGAAGCTATAAGGAGATTGTGTTTACTTACTATAGAAAAGGTTTTTTTGTAACTGATCATAATCCCTTCCAAGGGGGATAGACTACAGAAAAGTGGGTGAAGGGAGACGTTGGACAGTGTAAGATATGACAAAATAATAATTTATAAATTATCAAGGGTTCATGAGGGAGGGGAGAGCAGGAGTGGGGGGATAAGGAGCTGATGCCAAGGGCTTAAGTGGAGAGCAAATGTTTTGAAAATGATGAGGGCAGCGGATGTACAAATGTGCTTTACACAATTGATGTATGTATGGATTGTGATAAAAGTTGTACAAGCCCCCAATAAAATGATTTAAAAAAACAAACTCAGGCATTATAATGTCATACTGGCAAGAAGAAATCAAAGGGATTAGAGCATCGGCCCACGAAGCATGAAAAATTACTCAACTATTTTGATTCTACACACATTTTTGATACTATACATTTATAATTTAACATTACAATCAATATACTGCTAAAGTATATACGAGCATAAATATTATATCTTAAAATTAACCAGAAGAAATCAGTTTCAATTTTATATTATGGCGAGTAACAAAAAGGATTTACCTATTTGGATACTTTATAGTTGATGTAACAGTTTTAAAATATCTAGTTATTATTTTAAAGAAAAGTTTTCTTTTCGGATTTAAAAAAAAATCATTTTATTGGTGGTTCGTACAACTCATCACAATCCAGCCAGCCAGCCAGCCAGCCAGCCATTCATCCATTGTGTTAAGCACATTTATACATTTGTTGCCATCATCACTTTAAAAACGTTTTCTTTCTAATTGAGCCCTTGGTATCAGCTCCTCATTTCCCCCCCTCATTGCCCCACCCTCCCTCCCTCCTTCATGAATCCTTGATAATTTATAAATTAATATTTTTTCATGTCTTATGCTGACTGATGTCTCCTTACACCCACTTTTCTGTTTTCCATCTCCCTGGGAGGAGGTTATGTAGATTATTGTGATCGGTTCCCCCTTTCTCTCCCCACCTTCCCCTTCCTCTCCTGGTATTGCTGCTCTCATTATTGGTCCTGAGAGGTTTAGCTGTCCTGGCTTCCCTGTGTTTCCAGCTCTTACCTGGACCTGTGTACATGCTCGTCTAGCCAGCTGGATTTGTAAGGTAGAATTAGGATCATGATAGTGGGGGGGAAGGGAAGCATTAAAGAACTAGAGGAAACTTGTATGTTTCATCGGTGCTATACTGCACTCTGACTTGCCTCTTCCTTGTGACTCTTCTGTAAGGGGATGTCCAATTTTCTACAGAGAGGTTTTGGGTCTCTACTCCACACTCCCCCTCATTCACAGTGATACGATTTTTTTGTTCTGCTTCTTTGATGCCTGATACCTGATCCCATCAACACCTCAGGATCACACAGGCTGGTGGACTTTGTTGCTTCTCAGCTAGATGGCCGCTTGTTTATCTTCAAGCCTTTAAGACCCCAGACAATGCCTGAGTTTTTTGGTTTGTTTTCTTCCTTTACCAATTAGGATGCCTTTTCTTTTCTTTTCTTTTCTTTTCTTGTCTTACTGCTCTAAATAGAACTTCCAATACGATATTGAAATAGGAGTGGTGATACAGGGCATTGTCATGTCTGGTTCTCATTCAGGAATGATGTCTGTTGAGAATAATGTTGACCATGAGTTTGTCTACATGCTCTTAATTATGGTGAGGAATTTCCCTTCTATTGTTTTGCCATTTCATAGTTCAATCATCAAGAATTGTACAATTGCTATCACAATCAGTCCAAAACATTTTCTTCCTTCTTAAACTCCTTGATATCAGTCCCCTCTCACCCCTCCGCACCTTCTCTACCACCCTTTCAGGACCCCAGGAACCCTTATTCTCGTTGTTGTCACTGTAGTGTCCCCTATCCTGGGTTCCAGAGATTCAAGAAGACTACCAGCAATGACAAAACAACAAACACAAACTGAAGATGAAAACACACACACACACACACACACACAGAAAAATACTAAAAACCAGATCAAGTACAAAGTATATCAGAAGGGAGATCAAGGGACCAGGTTTTAACCATTCAAGTCAGATTAATCATTTTAATCTACTATTGTCCTCTCTACAATACTGTCTGTTCATCAGGTTATTGCCAGCCCTCAATTATGGTTAGAGGGAAATCACCAGAGGCTTATTCCCTGTGTAGATCCAACAAAGGTATTTTGGCCTTGCACTGTCATCCATAGCCTTCTGGACACCAAAATCTCTCAATTTCATCTCTGATTACTATTCCCTCCTTTGGATTTGGGTTCTATATTTCCCAATCCTTAGATCACAGATGTTGGTGTGCTTCTTCCATGTGAGCTTATTTGACATCTCACTGTGATAGCTACTTGTTTGAAAACAAGCCTTTAAGATCCCAGACACTATTCTTTTTCTTTTTTTAAAGTCATTTTATTGGGGGCTCCCACAACTCTTATCACAATCCATACATACCAGGTGCCATCTATTCTCACCACACTTTACTACAGCACCCATATCTTCTGTGTTTTACATATATTTATGTGTTATGCTGATTGTTTTTTTAAATCATTTTATTAGGGGCTCATACAACTCTTATCACAATCCATACACACATCAGTTGTGTAAAGTGCATTTGTACATTCATTGCCCTCATCATTCTCAAAACATTTCCTCTCCATTTAAACCCCCGGTATTAGGTCCTCATTTTTCCCCTCCCTCCCCAATCCCCCCTCCCTCATGAGCCCTTGATAGTTTATAAATTGTTATTTTTGTCATATCTTGCCTTGTCCGACATCTCCCTTCACCCACTTTTCTGTTGTCCGTCCCCCAGGGAGGAGGTCACATATAGTTCCTTGTAATCGGTTCCCTCTTTCCTACCCACTCTCCCTCTACCCTCCCTGTTTCGCCACTCACACCACTGGTCCTGAAGATCATCCGCCCTGGATTCCCTGTATTTTTAGTTCCTATCTGTACCAGTGTACATCCTCTGGTCTAGCCAGACTTGCAAGGTTGAATTTGAGTCATGGTAATGGGAGCAGGGAGGAAACATTTAGGAACTAGAGGACAGTTGTATTTTTCATCGTTGTTACATCACACCCTGACTGGCTCATCTCCTCTCCGGGACCCCTCTTCAAGGGGATCTCCAGTGGCCTACTAGTGGGCTTTGGGTCTCCACTCCGCACTCCCCCCATCATTCACTATGGTAAAATTTTTTGTTCTGATGATGCCTTATACCTGATTCCTTCGACATCTCGTGGTTGCATAGGCTGGTGTGCTTCTTCCATGTGGGCTTTGTTGCTTCTGAGGTAGATGGCCGCTTGATTACCTTCAAGCCTTTAAGACCCCAGACGCTATACCTTTTGATAGCCGGGCACCATCACCTTTCTTCGCCACATTTGCTTATGCACCCATTTGTCTTCAGTGATCCGTTCGACACCTCGTGATCACACAGGCTGATATGTTGTTCCATGTGGCCGATTGTTTTCTTAATGTCAAAAAAATCAAACATTCTTGCACATACCTCTTGTGCATCTCACTTGGTCATGATATATTTTTTTAAATATGATATTAGAATTCTGTACTATACTACTGGAAACAGTGTTTTTTGAGAATTTCTGTCCATGTTCATGAGGAATATTGATCTAGAATTTTCATTGTTTGAGTGGTGTCACTGCTAGTTTTTGGTATTATTGCTGTGCATATTTCATAGAATGTTTGGGAAGGATTCCATCCTATTCTTTATATTGGAGTAGTTTGAGTAGAATTGGTGTCAGGTTTTCTCAGAATGTTTGATAAGATTCTCAAGTGAAGCCTTCTGGGCCAGCACTTTTTGTTGTTCTTATTGTTGTTGGTAAATTTTTTTAGAATTCCTGAATCTTTAAGAGTCACTTGTGTGAATGTTCCACATATGAAAGTATCAAATTATCAGTGGTTTAGTTTAGTTGCTAATTTGCATTGAATTTATTTATTACAAGGACTGACTGATGTACTTTCAAGATTGTGTTTAATGCCTACTTTACATTGTAAGATGATGTGCAAAACAAAGGGTGAGCTGTCATCTTTGACTTTCTTTACTATTTGAACTATCCCAACATGCTTAAGTTGTTAGTATTTCTAATTTAGTGAGGGGCTTTTCTTGACAGCATTCAACATCACAAGCAAAGTAGAATTATTGTTATTTATTAAACAGAATTTGAACTGAATCTCCACCTCCCTCCTATTGGCAAAACATTTGTAAAAAACCATTTAGAGACAGATTATTTCCTCATTTGATTTTAGACTAATGGTTGAGAATAGAATTCTGAAACATGGAAACATCTTTGGAAAAGACAAGTATATGAAACATGAAACTATTACTCCTGTCTCTCAGGTTTGGATATTGATGGGATATACCGGGTCAGTGGCAACCTGGCCGTGATACAGAAGTTGAGATTTGCAGTGAATCATGGTAAGGTTATGTTTCTTATTGTTAACATCTGGAATACACACACACAACTGTTGACATTTTGTTTAAAGTAATTCAGAACTTTTCTCTATCTCTGCCGTGTTTTTCAGACGAGAAATTGGACTTGAACGATAGTAAATGGGAAGATATTCACGTCATCACTGGCGCACTCAAAATGTTTTTCCGCGAGTTACCAGAGCCTCTTTTTACATTTAATCATTTTAATGATTTTGTTAATGCGATTAGTAAGTATATAATTCACTCGTTTTCTCCCCTGGGTATTGAAAATCCTCTGCACAGATTAAGCCAAAACACTGTTTCATCTTAAGTTTTTCCAAAGAATTGTTTTACTCCAGAAATTTACACTGTGACCACCAGATGGCACTGTGTATTGCCAGATATCAACTCCCAATGGTGCCACTGCTTTCCGTGTCCTGAGAAGGCCCTGCAGAGCCCTTAGTTGTTTTCTCCTTTCAGAGCAAGAACCCAGACAGAGAGTTGCTGCTGTTAAAGACTTAATCAGACAGTTGCCAAAGCCAAATCAAGATACAATGCAGATTCTTTTCAGACATCTCAAAAGGTAAGAGGCTGCACAGATAGGAAACCCAGGGAGCATGGGGATCAAGCTCAGCTCTGCTAGCTTACTTTATGACTTGAAAATGATGCTCAAGGACTCTAAGCCTCTGTTGCTCCTGACTCAAATGGTTTCGTATGAATTAAATTAGTTATGACAAGTGAAGCATTTAAATTATGCCCCATACATAGTGTTCATTAAAAAAAAAACACTAGTAATGTTAATTAACATGAAGATGAGTTTGGTTAGTAGATGAGATATACTAGCCAGTATATCTAAAGTAGAAGTTATTAAATGAGGTATATGAATAGGAATCGACTGGGTGTCAGTCACCTGATGATGTACTAACTTACCCCGAAACGGAAGATAAGAAATCTGTCAATGAGCCACCAATGGCTCATTAAAGACCACTAGAATATGAAAGCTGTCCCAATGAGGGCTTTTTAAGAAAATAAGTAAAATTGAGAATTTAGTCTCTGTGCCCGAAGAGATTCCCCCCCGGTTAAGTAAGTGACTTAATCATTGATACCTGAATTACAACTCATAATTTACATGTGTTCTGTTTTTAAAATGAAATGAAAGTGTCCCACGTTAAGAGTTTATTAGAGATTATGGAGACATTGGTGTTTCAGTGGTGAAATTCCTCACCTTTGTCGGAGACCCAGGTTCACTTCCTGGCCAGTGACCCTCAAGCCTGGTCACCATCCGTCTGTTAGTGGAAGCTTACATGTTGATGTACAGTGTGAGCCGAGCTTCCAGACTAAGAAAGGGCTACTTCTGAAAATAACTAGCCAGTGCAAACTGTGGATCACCAGAGTTCCAAGTTAGTATGGACAAGGTCACCATGAGTTGGGGACACCGTGTATAATTATACCTTTAAGCTATGCTTATCTGTAAGAAAATTTCATACACCTTTGGCTCTGAATCCTACTGGTGTCACCTAAGAAAAAAGTATCATTTTTCTTTGCAAAATGTGAACCGTAATGTGTATAGTACAATTTGCAATACTCTTTTATATTTTTTCTCTTAACCTTCTTTTTTTCCCTCTTTCTTCCCCTTAGAGTTATAGAAAATGGAGAAAAAAATCGAATGACCTATCAGAGTATAGCAATTGTTTTTGGTCCCACTCTGTTAAAGCCAGAGAAAGAGACTGGTAACATAGCAGTTCACACTGTGTACCAAAATCAGATTGTAGAGTTAATTCTTCTGGAGTTAAGCGCCATCTTCGGACGCTGATCCTGAGCCGAAAGCAGAACCTGTGGAATAGGAGCTGCCAGATGTCAAGTCTCTCCCATGATGCGCTTTATTTTTGGACCAAGCAGTGACTCTTTGATTTGCACTTTTTTGAGGGATCAGAATGGAGGGGGAGCGTCAGGATGTGTGTAGGCCCTCACATTTGCTGCTTTGTTGCAAGTTGATATAATTGTGTGTAATTTTGGATTGCGTTTATCCCAAATGCTTGCAGTTCCTACTCTGAATTTCAGTAAAAATCAAAACTTGGAATTCTAACCAGGCACATATATATGTATATACATACACTGGATAATTTGGTAAGAAAACCACGATTTTCTTTTTCCTCAAACTGGATAATATAGAATTTCCTTTTAGGACTTGTAGGTTCTTCATGTGTAGGCTCACCACTCGATAGAAATAGTATCAGTTACTTTGAAAACACTCTTGGGCATTTTTAACAAAATGAAGTATATCCGTTCTGAAACCTGTGTATTTCCTCTTCAGGGTTTCTGCATGCAGTGGCTATCTCAGTGCTAAAATTCACCATAACCCAGACAGAATCCCTTGATGAAGGCTTGCTCTTTCTCACTGTGTTGCACAGCATCCTGACTGGATGGATACCTTTGCTTGCTTGAGCAGCACACTAATAAATACTACATCAAACACTGTGACATATTGGAGAGTTTAGTTAGCATAAGTCAATTCAGGGTATTCTTAGGCTGTGTGTGCTACATGGAATTGTAGCTAACAATTCTCGTTCTGTCTAGTGCCATACTGAATTCTTGGTATGACCCTGTGGAAGTGGACGTTATTTGTTGTAAATATGGGCTAAAGACTTAATTCCCTTTAACTTGTGTTGTATAGTCTCATAGTACATTCTAACCCTACATTTCTAACCACGGTATTGGTGTAGTGTAGGTGATCTCGTCCGTGAATATTAGGTTCCCTCCAGAAATAAGCTGTTATTTGGGGAAGGTAACCATGCGCACTTTTAGATTTTAATGACATTCATAGAAAAACCACTGTCTTGCAAATGGTACTGGGAGAATACTGAGTAGACGTTCTAACTGGTCAATGCACTACAGGAGGAACTGTTCAGGTGATTGAGTATGTACAGAACACATCAGAAAAATCTATTTCAGAATTCTAAGTTTACACTCTTGAATCGTTGGAAGCCCACATATAAAGGAGATGGATGTTGAATGGAAAATAACATTGCTCAATTTGAGGATTTGTTTTTACATTGCTTATGTAGATTGATTTGTATAATAAAAACAGGGTTTGGAAGGTTTTGTTACAGGGAGCATGGTCCGTTGAAGATTTTTTAAATGTATTTTTCTAGATTAACTGCTGTATATGAGATGTCTAATCTGAATAAAGAAAACTATAAGAGACTTAGATTTTTCCCATTGGGCATGTGCTTTTCTTTTTCTAACTCATTTGTTTTTGCATTTACTATCATATTCTTATACCTCATTTAAAAAATCAGCTGAATCTAATATTTCCTGTGGCAAATGTATTTTTCTTTATTTCACACCTATTATACTCCCTGCTGTGTCCTCCCTCCCCCCAACATTTTTATTTCTTCATCAATATTTGGAAGTAATTTGTAATGACTTTATTAGAATTTCATTTATAATTTATAATTAAGGTTGCCTTCCTTAGGGAAAAAAGGTTTTCTTGTGTAGTCTGTTTAAAAACCTCTCACTTGAGTTCTGTGGTAAAAAATACTGTTTTTTGTTGTGATCTTGTTAAATTGGTAACAAACCAATTACTTGCTAATCGTAGGAAAGGAGATTGTTTTGGGCAGGGAGAAAAAAACCTCAACTCAGAATGTTTGTTTTTGCCTAAAGATTGTCCTCAGTACTGCAGTGTGTTTTAGGACTGGAATATATTGTAATTGCACCTGGAAAACAATCAGACTCAAATCAATGACGTTCTTCCTCGTGACAGTCATGGAAATATTAACGATTAAAATTGTCCTGTGTTTCTTGTTTCAAAGTGCATATGTGTGTATGTGAAGTCATAAATGTTTTATTAGTCTCCAGCTAATCAGTTTATTGTAATACTGTATGTGCAGTGTGATAAGTCTTGTGTTTTCATCATTTGTGGATTAAAAATTGTCACTTGTTTTTATAATAACAAAACCAGTAATATCTTCTGTCTCAAGAACTTGATTTTTAGTAGAAAAATATATTAAAGGCTAAAAGACATTGTCTGTAATTTCATTTACCTAGTAAGGCTTCCTTTAGAACATGATACAGGAAAAATGAGTCAAAAGTGGGATTGGGGGCGGGGATATGCAAATATACTATTCAAACTTGAAAAAACTCATTTAAATTTCAAAGCATGAAGGAATTTTACTTTTTAAATATGAAAGAGTTCTGAAAGAATCTTGTTACTTTGTAGATACAGGTAAATCTATAAAAAGGTTTTTTTTTTTCAGTATGTGAAAAGCACCAATAGATTAATCTAGGCAAACTTGGTGCCTGCATAGTTTGTGTGTATTCGTAATATGTAAATACACATATATAACGTGTGTGCGCCATTGCTTATATACTGGGAAAACTTATATAACAATGGCAAACATGAGCTCTTTATACTATTTTAGCATCACCCCAGGCTTCTTTTAATCCTGTGATTATTCCATAATTTAGACAAGAGATTATTTTCTTCTATCTCTTGGGAGAGGCTTCTAAAGAGATAGTTAAACTAAACATGTAGACACTAATTCCTTGAACATGTTTAGGCTTTTTTTTTTAGCAGTTTGCAGCATGTCGCTCTAGGGAGTCAGATGGATGTCATGGATCGAATAGAAGTCAAATGCTGAAAGATTGAATCTACAGAGAGAATTGAAAAGGGTGGGAAATAAGACTAGGAGGTTACTATTCCTCCTCATCTCTAGCTCAGATGATTGTGTTTTGCAGAACACAGAAAGCACTTCTCTATCACACGATTAGAGAAGGTGCTAATGGGGAACTGCCTTCAGACTCAGTTGCAGGTGGGGCATAGATTTTTATTTATTTTTTTGTCTTAACTCCTACAGTTCTGATGCTACTTTGGAAACTGGGGGTTGGGGGTTGGGGGAGAGAGCCGGATCAAAACAAAACCAACGGTCTTACAATAAGGGTGTATTAAAGTCTCTTGGAAATTCACCGGCTGTGAACTCCGGCCCAGCAGTCAGACTTGTATTCTGGAGAAGGGGAAGGTGCAGAATGCCTAATGAGACGTTCTGTAGCTCCGAAAGACAAGCGCGTACTCTGAGGAATCTCAATTAGTCTCCTCAACTGAAGTTTTGTGGACCAGCAGTGGCTGTGAGTATATTCAGCTGGTTTCAGCTTTTACAATTTCGCCTTATGTGAATATGGCCCTTAAATGAACTCTTTCATTTCCCTCATTGCTTCTCTTCCACAGGGGAGGGGAAAGAAGAAAAAAACCAGTACTTCCATGGTGCTCTCATAAACAGTGCTTGTAGAACAAGGCAACTGTTTCACAAATCATTATGATAGGGATTTACAATGTCTTTTTTCTTTTTTACTTTTTTTTTTCATCGATCCTCCATTTATTTTACTTTGTCTCAGCACCACTAGAAAAGCAAGTTTTGGTAAAGATGTTTAATTGTTGATGCTGATAACCAGATCTTTCAAGTAGTACTGATAGTTAGTTGTAACTTGAACTGCATGTAGCATTGCATTTATAATCTAGAATTATAAATGTACCTTGAAATCCAGAGTGGCAAATGATGCTTTTGAGGCTATCAACAGGACCTTCACAGAGGAGGAAATGAAAACCACTGTAAGGCCTTTCTCCTGCTTATTTTGAGGGATTACGGTATGTGTGGTAGAAGGTCAGTGAAAAGAGGTAGAGTGACACAGTGGCTACAACAATGGGCTCCAATATACTCGTAATTGAGAGGATGACCCAGGACCAGGCAGTGCTGCATTGTTTTACAGAGAGTTACTGTGAATCGTGCTAACTCAACAGCACCTGACAGTATTTGAGCAACTTCACATGCTCAAGTAAAACCTAGTAAGTCAAAGATATGAAACAATCAATAGGAGGGACTATTATCCTCAGTCTCACCTTTTGTAAGGGAAGAAGCTGGCCCAGCTGCTTATGGACCTCAGAGTACCAGTGGGGCGGAGGTGGCTTATGTGATAGAACAGAAGTCGAAGACTGAAGAGAACTTCTTGACTAGTTCCATGTAAAATGTCCAATATCATTTGTGGAGGGAACAAGTAACATATGTATGGGCTTCTGTTTTCAAGCTAAGTTAATTTATTAAAAACATTTGAAAATATACACAACAAAGTATATTCCAATTCCAGTTACCACCCATACAGGTTAGTGATATAATTATCCTAACCTTTCTAAGTTGCTGCAACTCCACTAACAAACTCATGTTTCCCCCTCAGGTTCCTGTCTAGTCTTCCAAGTTGCTGTTGTCAGTTTGATCCCGAGTTCTTAAAAGAGCATAATACGCAAGGCAGACATTTTTCTTACTCACTCACTGACCCCCGATATAACTCTCATCTATGTCTTTAGCCTATTTGATTGGCATTGCAATTCTGCAAAATTCACATCGGTCAAAATGAGACTCCTACTTTTAAATAATAGGCACCCTGAAACATCTGATTAGGAGGCTGGGAATAGAGTTTAATATAGTCAATCTATCACATCTCTATTGATGCTTTCAACAAATTCAATGCATCTGTTAGGTGTTTTAAGTATGTGCCCAGCATGCTAATCTCTGAGATACATTAGTGAGCAAAGCAGATATGATCCGTGTTCTCACATTGATTATTTGAGACTCAAACTCAACTCACTGTTGTTAAGTCAGTCCCAACAGCGACCTTATAGGACTAACTCTAGGAGTAGAATGCCTCATCTTAATCAGAGTGGCTGGCGATCTTGAACTACTGGCCTTTCTTTTATCAGCCCAGTGTGGAACTGCTATGCGACCAGCTGCCTCTAATTTTAGAGTGGTAATAGTATTATATCCCAGTCCTGACATACTCAGCAAATTTGAAGTGGTCAATCTGAGTAGATATTAGTGCTGTGGTCTTGCCAATCTGTAGATATCCAGGTAGATGTTTATTGCTACACAGATGTGTTGAGAATGACATAATCCTTGAGTCGTTACAGAGCAGGACTGGAAGCAAGGAAATCTGCCAAATACAAGCAATGCTGAAGCCTTTGTGGAGGCACAGCTTCAGTTGATGAGTGCTAGTTCTACACAGCAGGTGGGTCAACTTGAAGTAATCAACAGAAGTGGTACATTCTGAACCCAATTGACAGGAGAATAGTCGATTTAACATCAGTGGTGAGAATGCAAGTCAACCAAATTGTGCTTTCTGTATTAAGTCTATGGCGAGGATTCTGGAAAGATGGTGATGACAGCATCACCAGTTCCTACATTAAAACTACAACATTGTGACATTTCCAACAACAAGATCCAGTGGCAAGGGATCACAAACTAAAATACAAGGATGTGGAGAGAAATCACCAGCAGTTGCACGCTGTGGGGACCAATATGGGCCCCGACAGGCACAGTAGATACAAGAGGTAGTCTTAAAGTGAATAACACCAGTCTACCCAGGAGTTCTCAGAAAGAAGCTGCCATTTGAACACAGTGCAAGAACAATGCCAGGGTGAGAAAATGGACACATTCTAGGGGAAAAGTACCAAGGTGGACGCAAGAAGAATGTTCTGTCTGCTGGTGCTGTAGGAGGAGCATTGAGTTGTCAACCCTAAGGCTGCAGTTCTCCTGGAATGGGCAGAATACCTGTTCCATAAACGTCAGTCTTGGAAACTGTGGCAGTGGTTTGGGATTATCACTGAAGTTGATGCCTTCCCACAAAGAAAACTTCCAACTCCAGGTGGGTTTACTGGTGAATTCTTCCAAACATTTACAGAAGAAATATCAATTGCATACAACCTTATTCAGAGAATTGAAAAGGGGGAGATGGTAATAATACTTGGTTTTTTTCGAGCAAGACCTGGCAAAAGTATATTATAAGAAATGAGACTTAGAGTCTAATATCTCCCATAAATAGGCTCAACCCTAAACAAGCTAACTATCAAACAATATTTATGCTCACCCACATCAAACCCACTGCTGTCTTGTCACCCCACTCACAGTGACCCCCTCTATTGGGTTTCCGACACCGCAAGTGTTTACAGGAGCAGCCTGTCCCATCTTTCTCATATGGAGTGACTGATGGGTTTGAACCACCGACTTGGTAGTTAGCCCGACAACTAGTCCACCATGGAGTCAAGTGATTTATGAAACATATAATCCACCTAGGCCAACCTAGATTAACTTTTAATACAAGGAAACCAGTCACTATAATTTACCAGATTAACATAAGGAGAAAAATATCTTAATGCATACAGAAATAATATTGAACCATAGTCACAACAATATAAGCTTAGCCTAGGAATAGAAATAAAGCTTCCTAATCTAATAAAGGTATTGAAGCAAACCATCCTATAGCAAAAATCATACAGGTTACGTTTTGAAATCTAAGATTGAGAATGAGGCGATTTCAACAATCATTTCTGTTCATCACTTTTTGATACAGTGCACTAAGTAAAAATAAAATTAAAGATACAGTGATCGGATAAGATAGTATAGTGGAATTCTTATATAGAAAAATTAAATTTTGCATAATTAGTAGGCTTAATGTTAAATTAGTAGTTAATAGTTCTACCAACAATAAATAAAGTAAGTAATACCAGCAATAAAACAATAGTTATTTTGTATACCAGCAATAAAAACTAGGAAATAAAAAATTTTTAAGTCCTACTGCCATAGCATCACAAATTTTTGAAAGAAAAAAAAAACACTGAACATTGAAGCTGCTTATTGTAATTCTATGACTAATACGGATATTATTAGAGAATACATTATGGTTGTACATCTTGGTAATTATGTAATTAATAAAAGCGGAGATGGAGCAAGAAAATGTCCGTGAAGTGGTATAATTATGTTATAGGGAAAAGGCTACCATTTAAAGTTGATTAACAATAATGAAATATATTCCTCGTGTAAAAAGTAAACAATTTGTAAAGAGTAAAATTAAATAATTGAAATTATGTAACAGGTGGGAAGAAGCTGGACTAAGAAAAATACTCGTTAACAGATGATAGTGCTACCTGATTAAAAACATCTCGATATGCATAATTGCTTTAGGTGGAAGTTGACAGAGAA